TAAAACACTTTTAGTAATATTTAAAATTACATAAACTTTAATTATATAAAAATAATAATTTATTAATCTAAATAATCCAAATTATTTGTAACGAAAAATTATAAAATTGCAAGTTAAAAGTTTTGTTTTTCAAGTAAAAAGATTTTAATAGCATATAATCCACTGAAATTTGAATATGTAAATGATAAAACCAATTTAATAAAATACACCAAAACAGCTTTATTATTAAATTAAATTATTGCTAATAGTAGCATTGAATTTGTAAATAAAACCAAAAATTTGTCAATAATTTTACTTGTATTATTTAAATTTAATTTGTTCAGAAACTGTCTAGTCAAAAGATACTGAGTTTTCTATAATAAATTAAAAATCATGTATTAAGTTAGGGGTACGATCAAAGCTTTTCAGCCATTTCTCGTACAAACTGTGTTATCACTGTCACTTCTGAAATGCAATATTTTCTTTTAGTTCAATTATTCCAACATACTGAAGTACAAGAATATTATTTTACCATAAGTTTGCTCACAATTGCACAGGTCTTGTCATGCGTAATTGTATTGCTTTCATTAAGTAACAAACTTAAAGCGGATGATATCTAAAACTGATTCTTGCAATGACATGCAAAAATGTATGGTGCATAACATCTAAAGTCATCAAACATTTGTATTTTATAAAGTGTATAAACTTCTTTACTAAGAGGTAAATACAAATTTTAATCCGTAAATATGCTCAGAAAGGGCCTATTATATCATATTCACGGATTAAAATTTGTATTTACTTCTTAGTAAAAAAGTTTATACATTCTATAAAATACAACGTTTGATGACTTTAGATGTTATGCACCATAGGACCGGAAACAGGATTGAATATGTCGCATATTTCGAGGAACAGATCAGAAGTTGATTTTTCTTTTCGTGGATCAAAAAATATGAGACTAAGATTTAGAATTTCCTTTCACATACTAATTCTGTTAGCTTTCGTTATATGTATCCAGAGTTTGTTATAAGGAGGTTCTTTATATCCAGAATTCGTTATAAAGCGGTTCGTTACATCCAGAATCGACTGTACACAGCATACTCTGGTTATTATCTTGACTAAAACGCCAAAGAAACCTCTGAATAGTTTCTTTATTTTATATAGTCATTAATTAACCATTCCAGCGTCTTGGCTATATCTAAGAATAAGTGTATTCTTTTCATTTAAATTTAAATAGTATTATATACTGTATACTGTCCTAATAAAAGTTTCCGGTCATGCCATTTTAAATCGAATACAATGATCTGCTGCAAAGTTAAAAGATAGGAATCGATACTCAAATCAAAATCAATTTAAATTTTGCGAATTTGTCGAAATTCTGAACTAAGTGAAATTCATCCGAATGTTCTTTTAAAACCCGATACCGACCGATCGGTAAAACTGACTCCATCAACCGATCAAATAATTGCCGATCTGTATCGGTAATATTGGCATCGGTATCGGTTTACCGATATAAATTTATTTGCTATGGTGCATAAAATCTAAAGTCATCAAACGTTTGTATTTTATAAAATGTATAAACTCCTTTACTAAGAAGTAAATACAAAATTTATTCCGTGAATATTATAGAATAGGCCTTTTGAGCATATTCACGGATTAAATTTTATATTTACTTCTTAGTAAAGAAGTTTATACATTTTATAAAATACAATCGTTTGATGACCATATACTGTATATCAAATACTGTATATACTGTTTATACTGTATATCAATAAATTCATACGGAACCGAAGAATCTCGTTCCGTTACCGATCATTTCGGTTAAAAAAACCGAACCGAGCCTATGCGTTAGCAAAATTTATTGAAAACTTTGGTTAAGAAATGTGTGTTGCATTTATTTTTACATTTGATCCCATAAATATACAACAAATGGAATAGTTTTTATAGTGCGTTTTTTAAAGTTCTATAACTTAACGTTAATTGGAAGTAGTCGGCAACTACAATTTAAACTTTATTTATGATAGATTAGTTATTGATGATAACGATAACGATAACGATTAGATTTTGCATTTAGTTCCTAATTAGGATAAGACTTAAATTTATTATATTTGGTATATTAAAATATTTATAGTTTTTTAATATTTTGTTGGCCTTAGTGAATGATTTTTAATATATCAATTAAAGGGTTCAAATATTATTCTTCATTGTAGTTGGTACTTGGTATTCTTCGGAGATGATTTACATACAATTACTATCTTTTTTCATATCGATATTGATAGTTCACAAGCAATAACTTTACTGCCACTATTCTTACTGAGCTTTTATTATGAATATTATGGTAATTTCTCTCAGATCGAAACATTATGTAATTTTCTGAATTAATTTTTTATTTGATCTTTTGTAACTTTGTTGTTCTTATTAGAAATTATTTTTTGAGCTTAAGAATTCAAGGATCTAAGACGACCAAATCCGGAAAGACTTTTAGATTTGGTACACTATTGTATTATTTGTCATCTTTTCATATGCAAAAAGTTTGGTGTCTTTGGGGATGACATGAATTCTCGATTTTTGAATGTAGAATTTTTAAATACGCGAAAAAAATTTGCTTAACAAAGAATAATTTTGATTATTTTGATTCGGGCTTTTGATTACAAAATGATAAAGACAGGGTCTTCCAACAATATACATAATTACCAGATTAAGCGAACAAAAACCATTCTTTTTATCATGGAATGTACTAATACAAAATAACAGATAAATATAATCGGGTCTGGTAGTCATTTTATTTTGATATATAAAAATTAAATGACTCTAAGAGTAGTAGTAGAGTATATATTGATGTGTAAAGAATCACTCCAAGATATTTGAATTGACTCGATTCAAATCTCTTTTAGTTCTTGCCAAGTTTTCTATATATAATGTTATCTCTTCAAGTTCAAATATAGCAAAAAAAGAATGGATTCTATGAACAAAATAAATAATCGGGATTCTCCGTGTATTTCTTGTTTAGTCAATAATTTCGCGCTTGGAAATAAAATATTTTGACGGAAGATACGGATATTTATTTGATATGCATGTTAATTTATAGATTTAATTATAAGGCATAATGCAATCGATAACGATAAACTTTGGTGTTCAAAAAACGGGGGGTTTTTCTAGAAGATTTCCTTAAACGTGTCATGCTGTGTCATGTTGCCATGAATGATGGCGCGCGCTAGTACATATTACAAGAAAATGAAAATGTCATTCTGCAAGTACGTACATATTTACATGAAACAAACGGGATTAGGCTAAATAAAACAAAAGTAGAAAATAATACAAAAAAGAATGAAACAAAAATATTCAGAATCTCTTTTGTCCTTTTCATTTATTAAAAATATTGAATTTCATGTTTACAACTTGACTATGTATGCAATTACATGGCGAGCGAACCATTTTTTGCCTCGTTGCAGGAATGTGGGAATTTGGTACGGGGAAGTGCGGACAAATCATTCGGAATCCGCGCGCGTTTTAATACACTACATTCATACCTATTTTTCCCTTTTTATTTTATATTCATTACAATGCATTAACTGTTTGTATTGCTCATTGCCATCACTACGATCGATTTGGTAACTACAAAGAAACACCAGTAATTCGCTTGCTCGTTCCCATTGTTTTTTATGAATCCTTACTTTTTATTTTGGTTGAAATAATTCCTGAATTTACAATTGAATTGAATAGATGATATATAATATATGTTATTTAATAATCAGATAGAAGTTAGTTACGTATTCATCTTGTTTGTGTACTTGTGTTTCTCCGGAGTCAGTTCCGAAATTAATGTTGCATCTCTACTAATTTGTATGTTATTGCTGCTGCTGTAAGTTCTTGATATATTACTTTTATTTATAATCAACCTGAGGGAAAAAATTTAGATTTTCTTTTCAACGATAAATACGGAATAACGATAGTAATTATTGATTAATAATTAGAATAAAACGACCGAATGCTTATCGTTACTACATGTATTGCGAACGTAATAAAATATTTCCATGCATAAATGAAATAATTTGGTTGATTACAAGTTGAATACGTATATCGATATTTACTAAATTTTGTGATTTATTTTTTATTTTGATAATCGAAATATCATGTATAGTCTAAAAATAACCCATCATTCTTCTTTTCTAAACATAGTCATTTAGAAAACGGTCATTTACGTAGAAAATTATTATGACTTAGCATAATGCAATAAGTCACACCTCTATAAGAACCAGGTTGGGAAATAACAAATCATCATTTATAATTACAATTGTGATGACAAGTACATGGCATATTAACATTATTTATTATTAAAGTTAATTGTTTGAGATAAATATTAACGGAAGTCATTTTTTTAGAAACATGTAGATAATAATAAAACGTGATCTGACGAATAATTTATGATGCATGAATACGTAATGAATTGCTATATTTCTTGATGGAGATGACAATGAACAATAATGGCCGCAAATTCTCAGGATCTTGGTTGGTCGTTTACTAATTTTTTCATTTTTTTCATTTCTATATATGGTGAATTAACGTATTGTGCTGCTGCTGTGTCCACTTTTTTACACGTGTGTTCGATGTAATTTGCACAGCCGAAAGAAAAGCTTTTTTGTGTTATTACAGATAATCACTATTACGTTTTACCTTATTTAGACTTTTCAAGGAGGGTTGTCTTTATTAGAAAAGTGAACAGATAATGAAGATCTTTCTATTAAATGCGTATCAATATCGATACATCTTATCGTTTGCTTAAACTATTAAATACATGTAATATTAATTCTAGAATATTCTCAATTATATATATTATTAAGAGAGAATTTAAATATAAAAACGTATTAATTTTTAAATAAGAATTTTCATAAATCATAAAGAAAAGAGTCTGGTATCTTAAACGAATGATAGGATGAAACTTAAAATGTTGGAAGTATTAAAAAAAAACATCTTATTTACTAATAAATAATTTACTTCGATTATGACAAAGTCGAGCAATTTCCCTAAATTACGTTATATTTAAAAAGAGCGAATACGTCAGAATTAAAAGGAATAGGTGGAAAGGAAGGTTGATTAAAATTAGAAAATCCGGTAAATAGTTGATGTGTTGGATGAAAATCAATGTCTGACGGGACGAAATTAACATGATCCTCAATTGCTTGTTCAACGAAAAAGTCAGTATAAGGATGAGATTGATTTTGGATCAAGCCGGCTGATGTGGGCTTTAATGGTTTTAATGGTTTCTCAAATTGTCTTTTGTTGTATGATCTTTTGTAGTTTTGAGGATCTTGAGTCATATGGCGCCACTTATATTTGTTCTTTAATTGATTAGCCGAAGAAGGTAAACAGATCTCTGTTAAAGCATTTTCGCGGATTTGATCGGCCAATTTTTTAAACTCTTGTCTGGCAGGTTCTGACTTAGCCTTCCATATGGCCGATGCTCTTTGTGAGACCTCAGAGGCACTAAGACGAAAATGCTTGCTAGTTAGCGTGTGACTGTATGCTTTTCTGAATAGGAAAAAACTATTCAGAGGCTTCTTTGGCGTTTTAGTCAATATAGAAATCAGAGCATCGTTCATTGGAAGGGTGACATCAATTTTCTCGAGGATAGCGTTATTAGAATTGGAAGAAGGGAAATCGCGTTTACCTTCCAAACTTTTGACCATTTTGCTTGTTCGAAATGAAGAAAGTTGGATTTCTTGTCTAATGAAGAAGGTCAGATTGATTGTTTGTCTAATAAAGAATTTGGATTTGGTTGCTTATTTATATAAATTTTTGCTTACGACTCGGATAATTCGTACACATCATAGCAGTTGCAGCGCTTGATATTTTATTGCATGCCTTTTCCTTTATTATCAAAACTAACACAGATAAATAACTATGCAGGATTCATATAACATTTAGATACAATGTACTGAGAAAAACGCATGATTGTATTTTCTCGCGAGGACGCAGTTTAATCATAGAACAGAATGGCACATAATAATACTAGCAAAGGAAGCATTCAACTACAAATACAAAAATCCTTGGTTACATTAGCCTATTCTGATTGAGTTAGCGAATCTATAGTTCTTATTTAAGACAATTTGGAAACATAAATAAAAAATCTCATTGATGATATGTCGAATTCATTAATGGTCCTTTATTATTGTTTGACTTTTTTATGCTTACCGTGATACAACCTTTCATTCATTATGTTATTACATATAAGTATATTAAGATCTTGACTTTTTTTATCGGAAAAACTTGTTTTTCTAAAGTAGTAGCATTGGAGGTGGTATACGTAGATTTCCTAAGATCGTCAGATCCGAGGAGTTGAAACTCCTTTCATAGTATTTTAAGCAACCTTAGTTATTTTGTAAAAATTACCGAAATTATCTATGACGAGTGCTTGCATACAAAAGGTAATTATAATTGTAAACGAACACCATTTATATAATGCAGTATAATATAATAGTAATAGAAATAGCAATTTTACTTTAACCCATCAACTAATATACTAATCATCAGGGTTTTTTATCTAAGAATGATTCTTTTTATTTATGTCTAACAAGATTTATTACTGTATGACCCTTTGCATAACAATTGCACAGAAAGATAAGATTCAGGGTCTTAAAAACGCCAAGAATCGGGGCTATTTGAAGGGTTATAACTCGTGTGCTAGACGTGAAACAAAATCCTCTTTAACCAAATTGAAGCTGAGTTAAGGGCTACATTTGGAAAAAGATAGTTTTTGTTTCACGTATACCTGAGCGAATTTTTTTACTCTCTCTCGCTGTATTATATTATATTATATTATATTATTTTATATTATTATATTATATTAGATTATATTATATTATATTAGATTATATTATATCATATTATATTGTATCATATTATATCATATTATATTGTATCATATTATATTGTATCATTATATTTTATACTATTATGTTATATATTATATTATATTATGTTTCTATTCAATTTCGTTTCGTTCCATGCTATTTTATTGTAAACTATACTTTCCCGCCAAAATTTCCCACTATAGCTAATGTGTCATTGAACATTTGGGCTCTGGTTCAGGTTGGATCACAAGACATTATCTTTTAAACCAATTCAAATTATTTAAGTGAATATGATACATATATGAGTTTGAAGTCATATGTATGAAAGTTTGTATACGGTATATAATTCCACCCCTTAAATACATCTGGATATTCTTCGCATTTAGTATAGATAGGTTTATTGTATCGTCCTGGTTTATTTGGTTTATTAGTTCAAAAGTTCAAAAACTACTAACCCGGTTAAATTAATAACACTAGTTTGTATAGAGTGAATTGGATTGCAATTCTACGGTATGACATGTGACTTTAATCGTTCCCAATGTAATTTCATTCAGACAATCGCTGTAATAATATGTGCTCTGAATGAAAGATAAAATGTGACATGATATTTGAATCTTGATGTTGAGTGATAAAGAGCTTGAATTTTATTGGACAGTTTGAGACCGGAGCAGTTGAACCGTCCAAGACGATCCGATGGAAGAGATTGAACGGACGAACGTATATTTTTGTTAAATAAGATTAGATCCTCAAGAAATCATAATTTGCTAACTTTTATTGTTTTGTAAAATTAATTTATTAAAAATGTTTCAATTAGTTAATTTATATAGTCTTATTATCGTTATCGATTCTAATAATTCAAACAAAAATTGTGTTAATCGCACTAAATCGAAAACAGCGACAATAAAACCTATTCAATTTGACATTTTAAATATTAGAATCAAATTTCTATTAATAGAATTTTATATACATTGCTTTTTTATACCAAGTTTATTTTTAACTCGTGATTAGAAAAAATTTCAGCTTAATCAAAAATCTATGGATCGCCCCATGCGGAACACATACGGTCGCATGTTCTGAATTAAAGCTCTGTTTGGGTAGGGTCGGGTTTTAATTTGACATTTTTAAATATTAGAATCAAATTTCTATTAATAGAATTTTATATACATTGCTTTTTTATACCAAGTTTATTTTTAACT